GGTCCTCTCTGGTTTATTCTCCTGCCTTGTTAAGAATTCTGAAATAATAGACACATCTGCACTTTTTGCTTTTATTGTCAATGAATACTGACATAAAATTCTGTTTTCTAATGGATACATATTACAATGATTTCATGAATAGAACACCGACCCAGGTTAAATAATGCCAAGGTTCTAATATTACTGGAGGAAACAAAGAAAATCCAAGTCTCAGTTGACAATCTGATCCTTAGTTTGTCCTTTTGTACTCCTACTGTAAATTTTATGCAAAGGTCACAGCAATGCTACTTCACAGACTTTAGTAACCCTTTAGTATTTACACCTGTAGATTCTGTAAGTCTATAAACAGAACAGATTGCTTCTGATACTTTGACATAACAAAGCATGGAACATTGCATATCCCATAGTATTAATCTCAAATGCATTTATCATCTAAATCCATATTTCTCAGTGCAGATTTGATGTGCTTAGTCATAAAAAAATACATGCAGACTTGTGAACAACTGTGTGTGAATGAGTACAATAGCACTAGGGTCTCAATTTCTGGTTTAAAAACATACAAGAATATTGATAGCAGCATTAACAGTCTCAATGAGGGAAGAGCTTTGCACAGAACTAAATGCAAATACCTTGGCTGGACTAAATTGAGTTTTTCAGAGCTATGGCAAACTCTGTCTTGACTCATTGCTTTTCCCAGCTTTATTTGTATGAGTAGATGCTGTTTTTTGAAAAGGAGCACCAAAATTATCTTCATTCTTCACACTGAAACATTCTGCTCTTGACAAGCTGTTGAAAGTAAGCTGTGAATAACTGATAAATAGGGTTAATATTTTTTAACAATGCCTCAGCAGCATTGTCAGGCTGGTGCCGCACCAGTGTGAAGGATTTGAAGAAGGCAATACTGGTACAACAAAGTCGGATAGTAATTCTTATTTTTATGCTGCAAACACTGATTTAATCACCGGTTTTCTCCATTAAACTACTTTATATCGACATCTTTCATTTTTCTGTCCTTTGAAGGTGGTAAATATGATTGCCATTTTATCCATTTTTGTTATAAATGAAACAGACTTCAGAGCGTTTGGCTGTGCATCAGTTGTTGGAATGCTGCCATACACTAATGCAGACTCCCCACTGTGAGCCCAGTGAAGAATTATACTTTGATTCACCAGATTGTATTAAATAGTCCAGCTGTTGGGATTTGAAAGATAGTTACCTCCAAAGTGAAATAAAAATGAACTTGGCATTTATGGCTTTGACCATTTTTATAGTGTTGGGCAATCAGCTTTTCAAAAGTAGCACTTTTAAAAATAACCCTCTTCTGGTTACACTGCTTTAAAAAGTTTAATTTGCTGTAACATTCAAAATACTCCACCTTGTATTTTTCTGGAATGATTGACAACTTTTGCATAAAATAAGCATTATTTTCCTTTTGAAATCACTAGCTTCTGATGATAATCAAATGAGTCTGAAATTGTATCTATTAGTGCCAATTTCTGCATTAATTAACTTATACCAAAATTCTAATGTTAGAGACAATTCTTGTAATTAAAGCTTGAACATGGAATTTCATTTGCTCTATCCAGTGCTGTAGCAGCAAGCTGAGTAAATTCTTTCTGAAATGGAAAGTGCAGCAACTGTTGTTTCTGTGATTATTTTTTTGTTTTTAACCTGTTCATGTACTCTCTCTCCCCATCAGGTGGGAGGTAGTGCAGTCCCCACCCAATGTTCTATTGAGTGGGGTGACCTCTTTCTTCTGTCATTTTCTTTAGGACAAAGACTGTCACAATAAAGGGCAGTTCGTGGCAGATGGATCCTCTATCCGAATTTCTTTCTTTGGCCTCCAGTTGATTCTACCTTTTCCTCTCAAGGGTGTTACCTTACCAGTATGGAAGGCTGTTCCTTATAAACGAGCATGAAAATCTAGAAAAAAAAAAGGGAAAGGTGGATGGAGGAAAGGCTCTGGATAAGCCTACAGAGCATGTAGGACCTTCCAGCTTGAGAGATTTCAGCACCTACCCAGTTTGTGCTCTGTGGCTGTGGACTGTGCATCCATAGTGGCCTGTAGGGCCCTGCCTAAGGATGGGCCAGTCAGTGTGGCTGCCATCCCTGAGCCTGCCCAGCTCTGAGCCCAGGCACTGCACTGATGGCTCTGGGGCTGTGCAAAGCTCAGGCTTTGGAAGGCTCGGGCTCTGGAAGGTCAGGCTCTGGGGGATCAGGCTCTAGAAGGCTCAGGCTCTGGAAGGCTCAGGTTCTGGAAGGACGAGACTCTGGCAGGCTCAGACTCTGGGGGCTCGGACTCTGGCAGGGTCAGGCTCTGGGGGATCAGGCTCTGGAAGACTCAGGCTCTGGAAGGCTCAGGCTCTGGGGGCTCAGGCTCTGGAATGCAGAGTGCAGGAGGCACAAGGCTGTGCTCTCAGGCTGTCTGTCTGCCCACCAAGCAGGGTTAAGGTGGCAGTGGGAACAGCCCAATCTGCCACTTGTTCAGGTTGAGCATTCCCAGTGTTTGCCATGTTCTCTGCTGGTGCATTCCAGCTAATCTAAGGATTTGCCTGCATGTTTTCAACATCCATACAAAGCTCCTGAATACAGACAAGTGCTTTTAGTGTTCATAGGCTGATGCCAGCTTTGACAAATAACCCAGGTGTCTCTGACCTTTCCTTCCTCCCTGCTCAGAGGCTTTTTATCCACACGAATCCCTGCACTGCAAACAGTGGTGATGTAACCCCATTTCTGCAGCACAGAGCGTGGGTCAAACGCCCTTGATAGTTCAGCAAAGCCAGTAGGTGCATTTCCAGAAATCATTAGTGCTTGCTCCCGGGGAGACCAGCGGCAGCCAAGGAAGCACCTGAGTCATGCAGTGCAGCCCCCAAGCAGGTGGCTCTGGGATAGAGGTGTGGAGTAGCCCTTTTTCAGTGCCTTGTGAGTTCATTTTTCATCTTCTATTCCTGGCTTAACAAAAGATCCAGGAGGGGGAATGTTACTGTTGTATTTTGTGTGTTGCTATCTGTACATAACAGCTGTTAAATCCATAAATCTATTTATTAGCTTAGCAGACCTGTCTTGGTCATATGTGCTACTAATAGAAATGCTTTTCTGTGTTTTTATGCTCTTCTAAATATGTGAACTGTCATTTGTATTTATATATTTATTCTTTTCCCTCTAGATCAACTAGTCACACAGAATTGACAAGAAAAGCTTCTAGCAGTGAAAAAGAGACAGAATCCGTGGTAGTTTTAGATCCTGTGTCCACCAGTGGGGATCAAATGTCTGAAAACGCCCTGAACCAGAACAAAATGAAAGAGGAAGAAAGCAAGCCACTGCAAAAAGAAACTAACGTCGGGAAAATAAAAGAAACAGATAGTTCTAGCTGTTAATTGTTTCTCTGCAAGGCTGTACCTTTTGGGAGTCATTATCTGGACATGTGAATTTGCTTAGGTGTGTTACTAGAGGCCAGGGTCTGTACTCCAGACAGAAATAATACAGATTGAAATGGTCTTTTGTATGCAGTTTTTGTTACATGCACTGAAGTGTTAAATAACTGTGTGTCACTCAAAATCCCGTTCCCATTTTAATTTTGCAGGTATGGTTGTTAATTTCTTAGATAGTGTCAGTTACCTATAAAAATGGATTTGAAGAGGCTTTTTTAACTCTTCTTTTATTGAGAAGATGCCTTGTTAAAGGTCTGTTCCAAAGCTTGCCAGAAGCCCCTTGTATCCTTGAGCTGGATAGGTTTGGGTTCGACCCTGTGAGTGATTACACCCTCATCAGCTTCGGGGGGAGGGGTGTTACTAATTATTAATAAAAATGTGTTTGGACACATTGCTCTAAAAATGTTGATATCCACTTAAACCAAGATCATGGTCCCCTGCCTGCTGTCCCCACACAGGGAAGAAATGAAAAGCACAAGCACAACCCTTCTGTCTCAGATTGTCAGGGAACAGAGACTGAAATGCAGAGGCAGTGCAGCATCTCATGGTGGCACCAAGATTTTTGGCAGTGATAGCCAGAGTCAGGGGTTTGTAGGCTGGGACTGGTGCTCTCATTTGGGTAAAAAGCTTTGCACAGCAGGACTTGCTCCTGGGTTTTGTTTCAATGTTACACAGCAGCTTTTGGAACTGCTGCAGCTGGAGTCTGTTTTAACTGCTGCACAAAAATTACTTGCCTTAGGCTCCAGTGGGTATGGGCTGTGTTTGGGATTCATTCTAGGAATGCAAGTTATTGGGAATCATCAACATTCTGAGAACTCCCAGCTGAAAGCTCACAGTGCTAAGAAATGAGCCCTTGCTTTGAACCTGGCACACACTGGTGGCATTAATTTCTTTATTAGGTGACACTTCAGGTGTCTGTATTTGATAACACAAATCCCAGTTTCCCTCAGCCCTTATTTCCTGTGACAACAGTGAGACAGGAACATCATTGATTTGCTCCACTGCCAATTCACATTCCATTGTAGTCTCTTTAAATTCAACACAGTGTCTCATTCTTTTATAATGAACAAATGGAATCAGGGATTTACCTAAAGATTGGTGTAACTGAAATTGGGTGGGCACGTACTTGAATGCACTTGGATTCTTTTTTATTTAATTATTTGAAACAGTGATAGTATTGAAGGATGAATGTTCTGAGTTTGTTGGTTTGGCTCTGCATGCAACTGTCTGGTGCTTTTCCTAAAAATAAAATAATAGTAATGAGTGTGGTGGCTTCACATCTATTTTGGTGGTTTTTGCATGTTTGCTACGAAAATCTTGGACTTGATCTAATTACTGAATTACATACAGTTCATAAACTTGTGGAAATTTGTCTCTAATTGATATTTTAAAATCTTGGGGGCAGTTGGTTCTGGTTGTTAATTTTTCTCTTAGTTGTCTGTTACACTGAACTTAAAATGCAATTTTTCATATATGTATTTTTTCCTCAAATTATTGCTGCTGTATTATATGTTCAGATTTTCAAATTATACAAAACCCAAGACTTTTTCAATAAGCATTTCTTTTACTTAAACAGTTTTGTTACCTAAAACATAAATTATTTCTTTAACTTTTCATTGTTGCTTATTAAAAAGACTCCTGACAAGTTTCCCAGACCTTGTGGAATTGACTTGTTACTCACTGCTGCCAACTGGAGCAGGCTTCCTAGGGATGCCAGCTCTGTGCCCAACATTTGGGGTTTGCACTGATGCACTTGAGGGCTACAACTGGAGCAAAATCTCCTCTGCAGGCTGGATCTCAGAGCAGCATTGAGGGGGTGTGGGGGATGGAGCAGCAGAACAGTCAAGGCCTTTTTTTTTTATAAAATGTGGTGTTCTGTTTGTGTTTGGGTTTTTTTACTGTTTGTCAACAGCTTTGTATGGAGGGAGATTCTGATTTTCTCAAAACAAACATTCCGTTTTGGACTTAACACAGCAGTATTTGTTTTGTCAATTTGGAAATGCAACACAGAATTCTGTGGTGTTTTCAGACTACAGTCACTGCTCAGTTAATTTGGTTTCAGCTGAAGACAGCAGTCCCTGGGAAAAGAGAAGCCAGTATTTAAAATCTCTTAGAGGTATCTGGCTGAACTGGTCGAAAATAAATGGATTTAGGAATAGTTAATATATGAGTTCCTTAGTAAAATGTTTTTTCTTAGAAATTTATCCCAAAGTTAATGTTGATAGCCTAAGTTATTGTGGTGTTCTGTGGGAGCTGAGCAGGCAGGCTGTGAATCTGCAGGGCTGGCTGAGAGCTGTGGAGGGAACTAATCCTGCTCTGGGACAGGAGGCACATCAGGAAGTTGTTCTGGCTGTGATTCTTCAGCAAAAACAACAAATTCAAGTTTTGCTTCACCTGAAATAGAAGAAAAAAAAAAAAAGCAGCTCATGTTTGCTGTAATGGGATTTGTTGTCATGTTCTCTGGTGCACACGTTTTAAAATACCACGTGATGCTTACAAGACTTGAAACACCTTTCCAAGTGTGGTCCTTCCTGGGAAAGGAAGGAACACTGATTACAGGATCAGGACATGGTGCACAGCAGCCTGAGCTGGGATATTTCCTGCAGTCCTTTCTCCACTGATACCTCACCTTGCTGCCTTACTGTTTCCCCCTGCACTGGTGCTCCTGCCGGAGTTCTGCACCAGCTGACTCTGCCTCATCCCTCCCGCAGAAATCCCCTGTCCCAGTGTTATCCCATAACCAGCAGTTCTCTGTTACTGCCACCAACAGTTCTCTGTTTTTTCGCAGCTCTGTGACTCCTTCTCCCCCCCTGTCCCCAGCAGCAGCTCCTGTTCTGCCCCACACACGATGCCCACCCCAGTGAGTGTCCCAGCCCCCTGTCCCTGGTCACACACGGCACGGGAGGAGCTGTGCTGGCCAATATCACCACCGGGCTGCTCTGCACTGCCCACGGGACAGGGGCCAGCAGTGGCACAGCCTGGCTGTGATGATCCTGAGCCCGCTGCTGGCCCCGCAGGCGCTCTGGGGGTCTCCTGATGGCCCAGTGTCACCTGCAGCCATGGCCACTGGAGTGCCCTGGGCACGGGCTCTCCTGGGTATTCCCAGCTCCAGCCCAGCCAAATGAGGAGCTTGGTATGCAGCTCAGACCTGCTCTCACTATGGCCCTGCTGTTGATTTAGGTACTGGATCTTATTTCTGCCAAATGATTAACGGTGTCGGGGATTGTTGCTGTTTCATTTCATCAGATATAGGTCTAAATATTTGTCAGACTCGAGAGTCTTTGTTTAGACTATACTATTTGAGGAGGGAATATATTAATACTGCTGAGGCAGTTAAAATTCATAGTTCTATAATTATCTGTCTTATTTTTGAAAAGTGCATTCTGTGAAACTATCAGCAAAAAAAAAAAAGAATTTCTATGTTTCTGTTTTTACAATGGTTATTTATAAGCAAGGGAGAGATTTCAAAAAGCTCAAAATATTTTCAATAAAAAAAATTTCAACTAAAATCTTTGTTCTATAGTGTGCATGTCAAGTGTTGCTACCCTATGTGTAGAACACTGGAAATTATTACAAACAAGAGGGTAAAATGACTTAATTCTGCTTCGTGTTTCCTTTTCTTAGGCATAATACAATTCCTGCAAACCCTTTCCTTCCTTTCTTCCTCTCCTTGTCCCTCTGCCTCCCCTTCAGACTGCACGTCTTTATTCTGGCTTGATTGATACCTGAGCAAGTGAGAAGTGGCTCTAATGAACTGTTAAGCATTTAACAGTGCCTTGGTACAGTATAAAAAGAAGATGCAGATCCTGAAACAGGCAGGCAGATGCATACAAGTGGCTAAGGCTGAATGTGCATCGTCAACTTGGGGTTTTTTTGGGTTTTATTTAAGACTTACCCACGCAATTGTAGCTTTCCAAACACATTTTGCTGGAAATGTAACATACAAAAGAGGGCTGTGAAATGAAGTTTTGTTAGCAATATATGTTTCGGGCCTCGAGGGAGGTGGGGTATTTGGCCTAAAATTCCATTTTGGCAGCTTTTCGACACATTATATGCATGGTTTTTTGTTTTGTTCCTTTTGCACCGCGGGCTTCAAGACTCCAACCAATTAATTCTGGAAAAAAGAAGCTTAATGTAGGCTACTCCTCAAGAAGGGGTCTATTTTAACATTCAGTAAACAGATAATCCATTAGGACAACAATATACATTGTGGCAAGTGCTATCCTAGGTTTTTTTTGTCAGCCCTTATTTATAGCCTTTTGATTCCGCTTCCCTCCTGGGGTGCAGTTTCAATCATTCTCCCTCCAATCTTTGTGCCCGTATTCATGGCAGGCTGAAAACAAAGTAAGAAAGAAGCTCGTACGCAGCGCTCCATTCGCGGCCAGTTCCTCCTCTATAGCCAGCAGCCGGTTGTATTTGGCCACCCTTTCTCCGCGGGACAGACCTCCCAACTTGAGGAACCTGGCACCCAGGCCCACAGCCTGCAACGACAGAGAGCCCCCGCTAAAACTCCTCCTTGGGCAAGCCAAGTCATCCCCAGTCATTAAACACGGGATCCTGAGCCTTATTTAACACCCTCGTCTCTCCGCAGAGAAAAACGGGGAAATAAAACCTCTCAGTGAAAGATCTGCCCAATGCAAACAGTAATTTTCGCTGGCATGTGAAACGAAATTTTATTTGCAAAAGATTGAATATTGTAGTGTTAAGAATATTTGCCTAAAACGTTGTTACTACGAAGGAATGTTTTAAGTAACTCACAGGTTTTTTTTATAAACTAATGCAAGCAAATGGATCATACACACTTTTGAATATACTCCCTGCTTTGGCAAATTTCCTGTGTGCTCTCTTTAAACTCAAAAGAATAACCACTCTCTGTGGGGGAAAAAAAAAAAGCAACCCTCTAGAAAAGCCCATTTTGTAAAATGTTGTTTCTTTCTGAAGCACAAAAAGGCTTTCTCCTTTAAAAATAGTACATGTTAAAAGCAGTATTTTTGCAATTCTGCAATTGAACAGCTTTCAATACTTACCAGATCCACGAGGCTCTCATCTGAAGATTCTCCATCTGGACTTCCTAATATGGTAATATGTCTTTGACCTATATATAACAGGAGGGAACACCTTCATTAGAGTATATTTTATATATTTGACACAGAAATTGTTTGGACTTCTCATTCTTTTTTTTTATCCTTGGGCTATCCAAGCTTAAATACAAACAGGAGTGTACCCCACCTGATAAAAATGTACACTAGCTACATTAGCATTCTGTTTTATTTTCAGATGGATAAGAGAACATCCTGTCCTGGTCTCTGTCTCTCACTGATCTGTCTGATCAGGCTGTGCTATTTATTTTAAATGTGTTCCTCAATATAGTGATTTTTCTTCTCTTTGACAAAGAATTTACCATCCTGACTGAATGAAAATTTTTAGATGCGATTTACTTGCTTTGATACAGAGATTCTAGATGGTTTTAAGGAACAAAAAAACCCCTAAGCTATATTAAATTTGCCCATCTACTCCTGGGTATAAAAATGAATAAAGAAAATGTGATACAAAGAGAAATCTTACATATGAAGCTGCACAGGTTCTTAATACTTACCACAAAGGCTCAATAATATGTAGTCAATAATCTATTTAAATGCAATTTTAAACAGTTTGTACATGCTTGAATTTTTAAGTTATTAATGCTAAAATTATTCAAAATCGAGATTAATTGATCACATCTCTTTTATTTTCTTTAATTCTGATATCTAACTGCATGACACTTAGCTGCAGTGTCAAAGGGCACCTACATCCAAAACATTCACAGTGCATTAACTGGCAATAGTTGAAACCTTGACTGCTGTTTTAAGCCCCTTGACAGGGATTTGTGAATCAAAACTTGAATTTCAGTTTCTTCTGACATGTGCTTTCTAAATCAGAAGTGTCAATAATTAAATGAAATCATGAAATATTTACAGGTGTGGCGTGTAGGGTTTGGTTTCAGCCTCTCCCCCCCTCTACTCACCATCCAGAATTCCAGTAATTTCTACGAGGTCTGACACCTTGGTTTGGTTAATGTATTTTAGGACAACACCACTGCACCTTGCTATGTTTATGTTTTGGTCGGTTTTGAGTTTGGAAATTTGTGTGGCAGCATCCTCAGCAATCAGGTAGCATTTGGAACCAAGGGCACAACAGATGCTGCTCCACTGCTCTCTGTCCTGCATAAACAAATTGAGCAAACAACTGAAATTTTAAAAACTAAACTGAATGAAGATTCTAATTGAGGAGATAAAAATTAAATCATAATTTGGGTTTAATCCTAAATATGCCCATCATATAAACATAATACATTTTATACTGTATTTTAAATCTGTCTGCTTAAGAAAAACATACCACTTGGATTTTCCTTGGGTTTTAAGATTTTGCTAGAAAACATAAATTTTAATCTGAAATTAATCAACACTATTTGCACAAAATATAGTTAAAATATTTAGATTAAGTGTAGGGGTCTGCTATTTTGATTTCCCTCCTGAAATTTATTTCATTTTGATGGAACATAAAATTATTTTTTATTGTTTTATTCAAATGACTAATTTTTGTGTTAATATTTCAAGTGTCATAGTTGCTTGAACATAAAATAATGAACAGGAGACATAGACTCAATGGCAGGACCCATAGGGAACAGCAGAATACAATGCTCTCTTTTTTAGCAAAGCTCCATTTTTCAGGGTCTTTGTTTCTTCTTTTTAATGCATTGTCCACATGGTACATGGTCCAGGCTAAATAAAGGACAAGGATATGTAAAGAATTTGAAAGAAGAAATTTACGAATTAATTTGCTTGCTTGGTGTTCACAGAATGCAAAGTTCTCACATTAAAAAAAATCTCTGCTTCATAATTCTGACAGTGGTTATTCTTGGTCTGTGGATCAGTTTTTTGTACTTATCTACTTTGCAATCAACATCAGGGATCATTCCTGTATGGATTTCAAACCCTTGCATAAGAGAAAATGAAGTTTTTGACACCTGAACCAATGTTTCATTTTAAGCACCAAAGTGGTCTGGTGTCTGGCAATGAATTATTGAATTGGTACCAGAACTAATCCTCAAGGATCTAATTATCAGGGGCAAAGATGTGGCATGGGTAAACCTTGGACATTTGGGAGGAGAAGAAAGAGGAGAGACATTTCCCTTAACTCTGTACTCTATTCCCAACTGCACTTCACTGGCTGCTGTAATTCTCCTGCTGAATCTCATCTTGCAAATATTTTCCTTCATATGAATTCTCAAGGAAGTTTGCAGCCCTGGCAGGAGTGGGGAATAACCTGGTGTTTTGGAACATGGTAATTCAGAGAGTCAGACTGAAACAACATAGGGAGGCAAAGCTAACCAGAGTAAGGTAATACTAAACACAGTTATTTAAAACAATGAACTTTTAAAGTTCCAGTTAAGGACAAAATCAGATGGATTTTGCAGTTCATTGGTTTCAGAATTATTGATTCAGGCACTGGGCAGATTCACAGAGCCAACATCACTTTGCTTCTCCCTTCAATCACAATATCTACGTTTTGTTCATAAAAATGAAGTCCCTGTATTTATTTTGAAGAAGATAAAGTGAAATTTGACACCAAGAGCAAATTTTTATTAAGTTGTGCAACTGCAGAATCTCGGCCTACAACTCTAAGTTCTGCAGCAATTAAGTTTTTATTCTTTTTTTTTTAGCACATGGAAATTTAACCTTATATACAAATGTGAATATTTAAGATTATAGCTTGACAGCATGCTTAATATTATTGTGTTTTATTATTGCAGTTGATTGGCCACACTAATTAACTCATCTAACTTTGTTCACAGAGGTAAATACAGGGTGTCTTCCTCCCACTTGAAAAATTCTGCCGAGCAATGCTGCCAGTGACAGGACCTTGGTTATAAATACCCATCACAAAGAACTGCAGCAATAATATATTCTGGTGATTTTTTGGCTGAAAATACAACAGTGTTCAAATTTTTGCTTCTCTGGCTTAATATAATATAATGCATTACATCAATTTTTGTAATACACGTGGATTTTACAATTTCACCGTATAATTTGAATTGTGTTCATAAAGAGAAAAATGTAGTCAAAGTAACAGTGGTTTAGCAATCAGGTAAAAAAGTAAATTCTTTTAATTCTTTAAGGTGTATGTACTGACTATTCTGTTCATGCCAGGATTTTCTGTCAGAAATTACATCAAAAGAACTGAAAAATTCGGGTATTGCCAATAAAATACATTCAAAGAAATTGTTAGATGCATTTTCTAGTGATATTTTTGTGCTTAAAAACTTGAAAATCAGAAGCTTTGTATTTTACATGTTTTGTAAAAATGAGAAAAGGTCAGTGATATGCCACTGACCAGTACCATCAGTTTTTAAAGGACTGCACTGTGGTAGCTTACCTCTTTTCTTAAGGGATCTATTAATGCAATAATAAAAGGAAAATTATCAATCATTTCCACATACATGGCAACCATTTCATCAGGACTTTTGAATGTTCCAGTGACTATTTCATATTTTCCTCTTTCCTAGAAAGTAAAGTAAAAAGCATAAAAGATAAGGAAAGCAGGACCCTGAAAAGCAGAGTGTACACATCTCTGTTAAGGCTGTGTGTGCTTCAGTCAGGAGGCATTCACTCATCTGCTTCACTCTGTGTCTGAGCTGTCAGCACATTGTTACAGAAAACTCTGCCTAAAATGACACCGTGGGTTCCAGTGGGCTCATGCCAAAGTCTCTGAACAATGCCACTGCCAAAGGAAGAGAGATCTATTTCAGCATTTTCTAGGCAACACTGCCAGTTTGACACAGTTATAGCAGAAAGTTAGCAGTATTTGGTATTTTTATTGAATCTTGTGTGAGAAAAAAAATCTCATTTTTCTCTTCCAAAAAAAAAAGGTGACTATTCCCCTTATTTTCATAAAGAAATTATTGCTGGGGCAAGGAGTGTGCACCCTCAGTGCTCAAAACCAAGACAGCGCCTTTCCCTGCCTCTTTCCCCTTAAAAAAAATAGAATCGTTTAAAACTAATCTCATCATTCTGGGGAGCACAAACTGCAGCCTGAGAGGAATTTTAAGGGCACACTAAAAACTGAAACTGTGCCAGGATATCCACTGCTTTAGTGGCTTTAACAGTTCAATAACAGAAAGTTACAGAATTACTGGTAATTCAATGGTTAAGATTTTGCACATCCTGTGTTCTAACACATATCACAGCCAGGACAGCAACTGCTTTCACAAAAGATATTGGTAATGGAAGCTTTGGCACTACAGAACACCCAAACACACAAAAGCTCATGAGGTACTAAATGAAATTGGAAGTTTCTTTTTCTGCTTAGAGAAAAATCTGGTTTCTCTTGGAATAAGGGGCAAGAACTGTAAGACTTTGTCAGAAGATAAATAGATTTTTATTTTTATTTTTATTTTTTCAAATAAAGACATTAAAAACCTGAAATTAAAACATTAATATTGATGAACAATGAGATGGGCACTAATGTGTATACAAACATACCATAGTAAAAATACATGCAAATGTTAGGATAGTTTGAAGAAAACAAGAGATGTAGCTTAATATAATGGAAAACCAAGCAGATTCAGCCAGAATTTATAGATGCAGAGATAATTCTTTCTGTTTGCTTGATTGCTACCTTAAAAAAATAGAGTTAGGAGCTTTTAGGTGAATTTGCAACATAATAATAAATAATGCTAACAAACAGCTACATTTGTTTTAAACCCCAAGAAAATCGAAATTGAAAAGTAACTTACATAATCCATTAATTCGTGAGCAGCACAATTTATTGCTAAGTACATGTCTGTTCCTAGCTCCAGACCTATATTGTTGCAAGCTGTTTGCATTTGGAGTAGCAGTTGTTCTAGACTATCATATCCTAGTGTCAGGCATCCTAGGTGTGATATTTTTAAGGTTGGTACCTGAAAGTAAAATAAAAATAATCACTTTATTTACACACATATATATTATACATATTTATGAGCTTTTTTCATCGTCATTTCAGTCTGCATTTAGCCATCAAATTATATATTTGTTCTCAGAAATCTCCTTGGCAGCTTTAAGGACAATTCTCTAGAAAAGAGGGATTATCAAGTGCTAATGAGTAGAGAGCAATAGTCCTTGGAAGTATGTGTAGTCATGCAGATCTCAGTCTTGTATGGCTAGCACTGGTTTAAAAAATTGTTTTAAAGGCACTCTTAACAACCACTGGGTTGCCATAAATGCTCTGGTGCTATGGACAAACCCTTTGCCACAAAAACATATCCTCCACTTTTAAATAGTTTTCACTCATTAATCCTCAACTATGACATTGATATTGACTCTGGGGAGTGTTCAAGAAACCTCAAGAATCATCCAAGACTTCTAGAAAGAATAAATTTCACAGAGGGGAAATACCTCCAGCCCAGCTGCAGGCAGTCTGCTTCAGGGATAGTATTGCTGGACATCAGTCACAAGCAGAGTTGGACTGAGAAAATATTTCATGTATTTCCTTCTGTTATCAGTTTTTCTGTAGGTTTTCCAAACACTGATTTTTAACTGTAAAGTCTGGGAATTTTGGATTATAAAGATGCAGCCACAGACAGCAAAAAAATGCTGCAGTCTTCCTGTACTTCAGACAGAGGTTAAATCTGCAGTTTCATGTGGTTTTCAAGATGTCCATATGCTTGTTGCATTCTATTAAAAGCATTGTTTATCTGTATGAAAAAACATTTTTCTCTGTCTAGTTTTTATTTCCTTAACCTAATTAAGTTCTTCTTCACTGCCTACTTTGTCATGTCTCCTTTTTCAACCTCACAAAAAAGTTCAAACTAACATGGTTCTTTTATCAGTTTTAAATTCAGTTTCACTACTGTCTCCTTCAGTTTTCTCCTACTGAAATAAATGGAATTTTTTTTCACAGAATCTAAGGCATTGTTTCCTTGTGTATATCTTACAGAAATATTCTACCTTATGATTGCAGTATGTATTGTGATACTCATATGGAAACTACACACCAGGAAAACATTGGCCAGCATCTTAATGATGATGACTTTCATGTTGTTTAAGCAGCAATAAAACAGAAAAGTTTTTGTTCATCCTTTTCTTTTTTATACTTCACAACAGTAATGATTCTCACCTGATAATATTTAAATAATCAGAATGAAGAGCAAAACCTGCATGGCATTTCCATCCCACTATTTGGAAAACTCATTAACAAACTACCGGTTTTGAAGGGATGAAAAAGATCATTTGAGCCATACAGAATAATGTCCTGTGCAATACTGTGAGTGCTGCCCTTTAGCTGCTGGTTTGTGTCTGCCATTATCTGTAACCTCTGACTGGACCTGGGCTGAATGCAGCAGGATAAAGAGGGGAGTTTTGCTCCCAGGGTTAGGAAACAGCACAATCCACAAGTCTTCCAGGTAACAGTTTTATGGTCTACATGATCCATAGTTCTCTGCTGGTGCTACAGGCCTGCAAAATGCTCATTTGGATAAATCACCAGGATTTCTATATGAGAAAAATTACCAGATCCCAGAAATTTCTCCCTATTTCCTCTACTGTCCCCCAGGAAGGGAAGGTATAGTCAGAAGAATCTAAATGATTATGTAAAATATGAGCATTTGGAATATTTAAGTCTTGCCTTGACCTTTCCAAAATGGCAAGGTAGATTAATGCTTCCTTTCTTAAGAACATTTTAAGTCCCCTGCTGTTGTTAATACCTTGTTGAAGGCTTAGAGTTAAAATCTCTTTTCTTACCAGAGCTTTTTGTGCTTTTCCTTTCTTACTGTCTGCTCGTGAACCAGGCTGTTGGAGTGAAAGAAGATAGAAATCAATTCCTTGGAAAAATACAAAGATGACAGAAAAAAGAAAAGAAAAGAAAAGAAAAGAAAAGAAAAGAAAAGAAAAGAAAAGAAAAGAAAAGAAAAGAAAAGAAAAGAAAAGAAAAGAAAAGAAAGAAAAGAAAAGAAAGTAACTGAATTTTGGTCAAGAGAGATTGCAAATATTTCAATTAGGAAATAGCTTTTTTTTTAATAGTTTAATAGTTTTATTTTGCGGTAGTTACTAATTTAAAATGTTTATTTCTATATGGACATTGGTCCAACCATCATTTGTTTTTCAAGACATTCTCACCCAGCCCATCAAAAATACAGGGCATCTCAGAAATGAAAATAATAGACTCTGTACTAGGAGAAACACAACAGCACTGCTTTCCAAAAAGCACATGCACACACCAAGACTGATTTACTGCTACAGTAGTAGTATCTGGAATAAAATATGTTGTGTATGAGAGGTGTAGCAAGGTCAGAATATATATTGTATATTCTCTCTGATACCATTCACTCCCAGTATATTTCTTCAGGTAAACAGGAAGTCTTATGCTTTGAACAATGTTTTGTTCTAAATTTTCTAATTTAGCATCACCAAATGGCCAATGTTTTATTCATCTGTCAGAGAAAGACATCCTCTGTTCTGTGTCACGAGCCTGTAACAGACTAAGTGTCCCATGTAGACGTTTAAAAGGACAATGGTAGTAAAAAGATCAAATGAAGTACATGTCACTGTAAAACAGATTTTTTTATTGTACCTTTTTGCCTGAAGACTCCAACAGTCTTGTTATTTCTTTCTGAATATCCAGAACTCTTTTTAGCCCCTGAAATTAAACAACAGTAATCTTCAAAAGAAAGTTATATTAATTCATTTTAGCAGCTTAAATCAGAAGAGAGACAACACTTAAAATTTTAATATAAAGTCTTCAAAAAAGCCCAAATCATTACAGACTCCTTAACACAATCTCTCCATCCACCAAATGCAGTCAAGTATCCAAATATAAAGGGTTAATAGCAGTGGAATGAGCAGGAATATCTGATTATGGGATGTCAAGGAAAGCAGTCTCCTCCCCAAAATTAGCCCTTCAGATACCTAACAAGTAAAAAATACCTGTGTCTGCACATATATCTGAGAAGTGGGAAGGTGATAATACCTATTCCCAATTCTTTTTTTCCTTTTCAGGTGAGCTAGTAAATGTTGAGTGCGAACTTGGTAAAGGACAGTTCAGATTTTCTCAAACTGTGCCAGTAAAGGAATAGTGAAGGGGGCAGAAGTCAGGACAAACAGCTTGGTGCCCTGCACTGCAGCAAACGCCGTCCTCCTCTCCCGTGGGCACTGGGAGGCATCCTGGCTTTGAATGGGGCAGAATTAGTGACCTTCTTAACAGCTCTGGGGGACAATCCACAAAAGTTAAGGGAAAAGCAAAAAGAAAGAGAATCGAGCTCAGCTATTTGTTCAGGTCACCAGCACACAAAGTAGAAATCACAGCCCTAATGGAGGCACCTTGTGCAGATACATTCCTTAATGCAACACATGGCTAAACAAAAAGAGAGAGGGGAGATCCCATCTGTCTCACCCATCCTTCTTGCTCTTTGTATTCCTTACTAATGTCACAATTTCAATTTAAAGCAATTTATTCCCAAACATGTTATGCTTTCCAGTGAATTTGTTATGGGTTTTGTTGTTTTGCATGCTATATCAAACAACTGGTAATATTTATAATCTACTAATGCAAAATCTATTATTGTGTAACACAATTCCTTGACATCTTCTTCAATGCACTAACTTTTTCCTCCATACAAACATCCATTTTTAACTTAAATCTTCACGGTTCATCTTTTAAATCAACTTTTTACTTAATTTAATGTTATTAGTGTTAGCACTAACGTGTTAAAACTTTGGCCTTGTAAGCCAACAAAGAATAAAAAATATAATTTGTAAGGACTATATTGAAAAAACCTATATACTTACGTACATATGTAGTTAGTATGATGTCTATAGAATATATTTATAAAAAAAGGAAACAGTACCTGTTTGAGTGATAACTCAACTGGTGGTATAACCAGAACTTCTTTGACTAATTTCAGTTTTGTAGGTGAATTTTTTTCACAGTTCAACAAAGTAACCATTGGAAGTGGCAGAGACATTTCTTTAGGTGACTCCTGTAATTGGGAATGCCAGGTGAAAATAAAAATGTAAAAATCAGAATAATTACTTATATATTTAGTTACAGTACAGGGTTCAAAAACTGCAAAAACTGAAAACAGACAATGGTGTAAAGGGTGCATTCTATGAGGCAAATTTAATAACACTATCACAACTGGCTGCAGTAATTATGATAACTGGAACAAAATACAATTACAAAAGCCACATGTACCTGATGATGTTTCAGCAGTGCAGTATGTAGGTACAATGGGACACGGCTAATGGTGGCCCCAGCCTTTGCTATGGCAAGTGATGTTGCCCCAATGGCCAAGCTGCCACACAGCACTGGTTCAGCAGGTTCTGCAGGTGGGATGGGTGTCACTTCTGCTGACACCTTCTTTGCTACAACACAGACAGCAGAAGCTAAATATTTTCTTGGTTCGAAATATAAGCTTGTGGATCAGAGTTATGTGAGTAAATACAGTATTGTCATTCCAATGTGTACTCAGTGTACTAAAAACAATAATGTATTTTTAACTTAATTTTGTCAGCTGTTTTATACAGAATGACCTTACAAGCAAGCAGAGTATCTGTCTTCACTCTGGTTTCAAATGCATTTCAAGTTTGTTTCTTTTATCTTTCAGCCACTGAAATATGTATTTGTATTTATCTGTGTTTGAATCCAACAACATGATATCATTTTTCAGGTTCCATTCAAAAGCATGTTTTCAATCTTCTTTATTGTACTCCTTAAATGCTCAGATTTTGCATTAAAAAATGGAACATTACATTATAACCTGATTGGGAGTACAAATACTTGATTTCTTCTAATAATGACTGTGAAAAAAAAATTAGGCCTATTATAACTGGAATTCCCAAAGAGAAAACAGGTCTTTGAAGTATTACACATTAAATTTTCATAAGAATTTATTTCCCTTTCAGATACAATAACTTTGTCCAAAATGCTTTAAACCAAGCAGTTCCCACTACCATCTTTATTGTCTATAGTGCTTACATGAACACTTACAGGGAGCACCTGCTGAAGCTGCAATAAGTGATCTGATTCCCAAGAACCATTGCATTTGGGACTGTTTGATACTGGCTCCAAACAATCAGGCACTGAGACTAACAATAATATTACAGTCAATGTCACAATTAGTGAAAACACCTACTAGATGTACCAGCAGAAGTATCAAATACACCACGATGATATCTGGATGGCCCTGACAGCTGCAGAAGTTAAATTTCAGGTCAAAGGTGAATTTACTGTGCTTACATCCAACATACTGACAGTATGTGACAGTTGCAACTAAACTGCTAAAAAATAATAATTTGCCAAAATTTTCTGCCCTTCCAGCAAATGACAGCAACCCTTTTTTGTCTGTGTTTAATCTATAGATGGAGATAACATAGGCTGTTTTTTTCCTTTGGGTTGTTTGGTTTTGGCCATGCATTCTTACCTTGTTTTTCCAATCTCACACCATTTCTTCCTTTTTCCTCTAGTAGGATGTCTGCTTACTTCCTTTTACTCTATACTACCCTCCTGTCTCACCCTCTTTCTTTTTTGCTTTTCTCTATATTTCCTCCTTTTCTCAGTGTTAGAAGGAAACTTTCCTTCCTCTTTCAATTGTTTGCAGCTTCTATCTTAATTCTATTTCCTTTTTACCATTCAGTTCTGTGATTTCCTGTTCTTTCCTTATCATTTTCATTTTTATTCTTCATTTGCATCCTCCTCCATTCTTATTCCTCACTCTGAAGAATAATAACCTCCTGTCTAAACCAACTGTAAAACAAAGGCAGAAACTCTGTTCAACCAATGCATGTGAATGATGAGGAAACTGTATTTTCCCCTCCCTCATTTTGCTGCAGAAACTGCTGTGATCAAAAAGGTCAGGAGAGAGTAACCAAAGTCTCTCAACATGAGACAGGGTGTATTTTAGGACGTTTATCAATATCTGCATTGAAGAAAATATTAAAATAAAATAAAGTAAAACCTGGTTTTACTCCCTTTTTTTGCTTAGGTGTTGAGGCCGGACGGTACAAAGAAGAGGCAGGAGTGGCTTTTGCTGCTTCTTCTTCCTCTTTTTCTTTTTCTTGCCTTTCAATTTCCTTTTTTTCTTCTACCTTGTTTGCAAAGTATTCACTGAGGGAAGAGGCATAAAAGCTACTGAGTCAAAATATTGCTAGACATGTGGCAAGTAGATGTGATGCAGGCTAAAGAACATGCTAGGAGGTAGATTAAGGGCTTGTATTTGAGCTTCTGCCACATATTCCCTGTGTGAAGCTGGAGAAGTCCATACATTTATCATACAATTCTTTTTTGGTAGTCATCTGCAGCACTGATTAAACAAAAAGGACCACAAGCAAATATCACAAACTTTAGTACATGCTCTGTAAATCACTCTGGTTTGAAAGTCAACTCTGAGCAGACAGTTTGAGCATGAAGGATTTATTTCCTTTGCATGGGTAGTAACAGTTCCTGTCATAACTTCATGACATCCATCAGCCTGGCCTAGGTCAAGACAGTAGGTGACTTGTACACTGGTTATTGTGTGGCTGCAAACTCAGAGGTGGCTGAATTTCAATTACATGCATGAAGTGAAATCTTCACCCATGGGTCACAGAAAGCCAATTCAGGCAAACTGAGTATGTGACATATATAAAGTACTGTAAAGTATATATAAAGTAGTGTAAACAATGCATTAAAATATTATTTAGGCTCACTTTCCAACTGAGTCCTTATTCCCTTTATCAAGGTTTTCCCAAATCTAATCCACGTGGAAGCCTGTGTTCAGTGTTGCAGCCCAAACCAGCATGCTTTTTATATCATAATTATGAAAAGCAGGCAATAATGTAATGAAATGGGTCTGAGACAGACATTATATCCTAAAATTATTTTTTTAAAAATAGAAAACATTGAGTATTCTATATGTCTTTTATTACAATATAAATTAATGGTGAATATTTCAAATATTCAAATGAAATAATTTCCATAATATGCAAGACCTACCCAAGCATCTTATCAGCTTGACACTGGTCAGTAGGGTCCAAGTGCCTTAACATTGTGTTCAGTGATTCATTGACCCATTTCACAGCAGTATGAACAGAGTCATTTCTTTCTTTCTCATCAGCTTCAATTGTTTCAGTCAAAGCATTTTCAGGTATTTGAGAATGAGTAGCCATTACAGTGGAACAAATCCTCTGCAAAAAAACCAAACAAAAAGAACAAAACCAAAACAATGTAAAAGGTTTAAAACACTATTTAATTTCTAACTTGGAAATGTCATTTGAAAGACTAAGAAGCATGTCCTTTACCAACTCTACAAGTACATATCTCCCATATCTCCAAATCTATTTGCTCCACTTTTCTCATCCAGTACCTTCTTTTTAAGCTCTTACACTTTAGTAATTGTAGACATTATTCAAGTTTTTTGACCTAAAATTGTAACTACATAGGCAAAACCCTTCTGACAGATCTGCCTTATATATATATATTATACTATTAGAATAAATTGAGTTATTTTAAGGACCATACAGTCATTAGTCACCTTTTACTGCAGCTGTTGGTAGCCTGTTGTACCACAATTCATCAGCATTCCTGCTGAATGCCATCCCTCATGATCAGTTACTTTAGTCTTACTTAGGTAATTCAAATATATCTTTCTGTACTGATGAAGAACAAATGATATTAAGAAAATTCACTTAAGGAAGACATAATTTACAAATTTCCCACAGTTGCTTGGACTAACAGTATTAATTTTGCATTCTGTAACTATCTATGAGGTTACATGTAATTCCAGAATTAAGTGAACCAGAGTTTAACTGAGGGAAAGTAGAAATAATTACTCCACAATAGCTAGAGCTGCAAAGATATAACTTGAATATTTCAGGTTGGGGAAGAGATGAGACATCAATTCTGCACTGCAGGTGCTAAATGGGTATGCTTGACTTTACTGTCACCCACATCAACCTGTTAGTTCAGTGTAAAAGAAGTGTCTCTATACTGTTTTTCACCTGTACTGTATATTTCTGAAAGTGTCACACAAAGGGAAATATAAAGATCTGAAAATTAAAGAAAAAGTTGAAAGTGAAGGTTAGTATGGGTGTAAAGAAAAGCTACATGATATTAAGACTGGAAAAAAATTAATATACAAAGATACACTATCAAGTCCTACTCACAAAACATTGTCTAATTCCTGGAAAATAAAGTTTTCATAGCTGCTGCCACTGTCTAACTTTTCACTATACCATCTTTTTTTTACAAGTTACAACACTCAACTGTTGAGTCACAGGGATTTACATTTTGTCATAAAGATGGAAAATAAAATGTTCCTTTGGATATGAGAAGAATAGAACCTCTCCCAGATACTGTCCTAGTAAAATAAATAAAACAAGAAGCAGCAGCTCATACCTTCTCATAGTTTTTAACTGTACAGTATATTTCCACTCCTAGTGTTGGCTGACCAACTCCATCCAAAAGTTTTCTTCCAACTAATTTGCATATTAGTGGAGCTTTTGAAAATTTAGAAAAGTAGTTAGCCTTAAATGAAAGAGAAAGAACTCAATTAAAAGTCAGTTTCCAGGCAATGAGGCTTTTATTCCATGATTACAATCAAATCCACCACTGGACAAATCCACTATGGGTCTCTTTCAGCTATGAATGATATTCTATCATTCTATGATTTATGTGTTCCAGCAAGCCTTGAGCCCTGTGAGAAAGGTGGAAACCATGACTTCTGGCAGGCAGAGTCCTCATTCATCTTCCAACATGGCCTTTAATGGGTGTGATGAACTATCATAATGCAATTCGTTTGGGTCTCTGTTCGTAGTTAATTAACACCAATGTTGGTTTAGAAAAAGGATTATGATTTTACCTGACATTACTTCCTTGCTAGTTTCATTATTTAATCTGGTATCAGAGTCACCAAACCACAGCTCACCAAATGGGAAAACTACAAAACACTTATGGCTACAAAGAAGAGGAACGTGCCAAGTAGCAAGCAAAGCAAGGACAGGTTTTACCAGTTCCAGTCCCTTCCACTGAGGATGGCAAAACACTTGGAGATGGGAAACATTATAAGATGGAATGAAATATTTCAATTCCACAGCCACTCTCCCATCAAAGACCATACCAGAAATCATATTTTTTTGAGAGCTGCTCACTATTCTAGTATTGGCAATTCCAGTATCGCTGCTAATTGAGGTTTCATTATGACTGCTGTCAATATTTTACCAAGTGGAAACAGATAAAATCGGTCTGATTCTTGACCCTTCTAGTGGGGCCTATTTGCCTTTCATGAGCAGCTGCAGTGTGACCACCAGTCTCTTCTCGCCACTGGCCCGGGAGTCATCACTGCTGAGCAGCAGTTTTGTTAAGGACAAACAGTACTCCGTCAGTGGACTGCTTTGTTTTTGTGTCGAGACACAGCAGAGGCCAAGGAGCCCGGCTGCTGCGGATATGTAGCTGGCACAGCACCCAGGCGCCACTGGCCACAAACACAGAACCATCGCCATCCTTGCCCGGGCCAGGGGTCACTGAACTGTCACCACAGAGACGCCACCACCTCGCTGAGGGCAAGGGCTGGCAGGGGCACGGGTGCCCACACGGCCCCTTTGCCCCAGGAGACGCCGCTCCGGCCCGGCCCGGCCCGGCTGCATCCCCGCCCCGCGCTACCAGCTCCCCGTAGAGATCCTCGGGGCGCTGCAGGAACAGCTCGTTCAGCGCCTCCTCCATCCGCTCCGGCACCCGGAGCGCTCGGTAATACTCAGCCGCCTCCCGCCGCAGCTGCCTCCGCCGCTCGCCCGCCTCCATCGCGGGGCCGCGGCCGCTGCCGAGCAACGCAGCCACGGAGCGCCCGCCTCTGGACCCGCTCCCAGGGCGGGACAGCGGCACCTCAGGGCGCTCTGCCCGGCCCCACGTTCTCGGGGCTCTGCTCCGTCAGACCCGCCCGGGAACGGCCCGGGTTGGGAGCAGAGGTGGCTCGGTGTGGCCCGGTTTGGTTCCTCCGCGCCGCGCCGAGCTCGCACTGCCCTCAGAGCCCGGCCATGGCCTTCCAAGTCAGGACGGACCAAGCGCTCCTCGGTTTTAAAAGTTTCCAAGCAACAAAGATTTGTAACATTATGATCCTGAAAGAGGGACAGGCTGTGTGTTTGGGAAATGTCTGGTGACGACGACGCTGTAAAACGCCCACAGTAACTCCTCCATTTGAAAGCCCTCCGCTTTCAATGAAAAGAAACCTTTCTGCGACCTAAATGATCATTTTTAGCCCGCAATTTCCTACAAAAACTTTCACTTTCTTACACTGTTCACTGGTAATTTTGTTGAAGTAACTGAAAATGGAGATACTTAAAAGCTGTTAGCCGCACACTTCCCCGGCTTTAAAATCAATATGTGTGGACCTTTGCTCATTGTGTGCTCACTTCCCAGGTGGGGTGATAATGAAGAAAAATCCCTAAGGAATCGTTTTCTTTTCGTTTCACATGCTTTAGAAACACTATGGTACCTCTCCAGAGATTTAAATCCTCCTTTTTTAAAGCTGTTTCGTCTGTAAAAGTTTCTAAACTGACACTACCTGTTCCTTGAGGAGAGTGGGTAGCGAATGCCTCATTAGATTTTCTTTGGGAGGAGTTGATGTGGTGGGTGGCTGCTCCTTTGGGCACAAAACTGCTTCAGGAGGGGCTTGTGCAGTCAGAGGCCTGGGTGGCAGCCGTCAAATAGTGCCAGATAATTTGTCACATACACAGGCTTGCCCCAGAAAGCTCCAGTTTAATTAAATATTCCGGGAAGAACAGGCTTCTGCAGGTAAATGGTGCTGGTGTGCTGGTCTCTGAGCATGATCATATGCTGCGTAATAGCACCCAATATGAGAGCTGTGCCTTCTGATATGTTTAAGTGCCTCTATATCAGTTTCCCACTTCTGCTCTTTCACAGGCTCTGAATAAAATCATGAAGGAACATGCTGGAGATAAAAGGGAGACTGGCGAAAATGTCAGACTTCTCTGGGAGGGAGTGGGAGAGCTGATTGCCTAGGGTTATAAGGAAGGCTGATACACTCAGTGACTTTTGTGCCTCTGTTCGCTCCAAGTGCTGCAGCTACACCACCCAAGTGACAAAAGGAAAAGTCAAGGACTGAGAGAACAAAGGGGTAACAGTGTTGGTACATGAGGGAAGAGTAACTGATGTCATCTGCCTGTACTTGATATTGCCAGCACAACATCCTTTTCTCTAAAGTGGAGAGATGGATTTGATGGATGGACCACTTGGTAGACAAGGAATTGGCATGGTCACATGGAAAGGTTTATGGTCAATGGCTCAATGTCCAAGAGGAGAACAGTGACAAGAGGCATCTTCAAGAGTCAGTGCTGGGACTGGTGCTGTTACCCAACTTTGTCAGTGGCATTGACAGGGGGACTGAGCCACCCTCAGCAAGTTTGCCAATGACCCTGAGCTGACCCAGTCGACGTGCTGGAGGGAAGGGACATCCTCCAGAGAGACTTGGACAAGCATGAGAAGTGGACCCATATCAAGCTCATGAAGTTCCAAAAGGCAACTGCAGGGTCCTGCACCTGGGTAGGGGCAATCCTAAGCACAAACACAGGATGGACAGAGAATGTGTTATGATGGGATTAGGGAGAGATGCTGCCCGAATGAAGGTGCAACTGAGACCATACGATGACAACACACAGATTTGATTTAACATGGATTTTATTTAACTAGAAATGTGTGAGAGATAGAAAGAAATAGGAAAGAGGTCTCAAGAGAGACAAAAAAGAGCAGAAGAGAATCTGTTGGAACTAGGTGATCTCTGAGGTCCTTCCCAAACTAAACCATTCTGTAATGCTAGAGGATGTGTGGATGTGTATTTTGGTATTATTATAATAATTATATTAATATTAATAAAAATAATTTGCTACTACTACTGTTTAATCATCTTATTATTCTTATCCCCGTTCTTCTCGTTCTTCTTAGCATTTACTTCTACTACTATTTATTCTTCTACACCAATTTATTCTTATATCTATTCTTTTTTCTTTTTTTTTCTTTTCTTGTTCTTATCCTTATTCTCATTCCTATTCTTTGCTTTATTTTTTCTTATTCTTGTTTTAATTATTATTCTTATGCCTTTTCCTATTCATTTTCTATTCTTATTCTTATTCTTATTCTTATTCTTATTCTTATTCTTATTCTTATTCTTATTCTTATTCTTATTCTTATTCTTACTCTTGCACTCTGTGTGCAGGAGTGCCGGGGAGCCAGCACAGTCTCTGATAAAAAATTCTGCACTTCTTCTCCCCCCTCTTCCACTCCTGGAACCAGTCTTAAAGTTGCAGAATTTAATATTCAACACTAACAGAACAGACGATTTGGGGATATAGGCATCATACAGTTACCCCAAGACATTCTGTCTTATTCATTCTTATTTATTCTTATTCTTATTCTTATTCTTATTCTTATTCTTATTCTTATTCTTATTCTTATTCTTATTCTTATTCTTATTCTTATTCTTTTATTCTTATTCTTGGTGCAAGCTTCCCCTTGGGACAAGTCATGGTAGCTACCAACTCCTTCTAGGGACAGTTCCTGCTCAGTTGAGGCTTCCCNAGAGGTCTCCAGAGAGACAAAAAAGAGCAGAAGAGAATCTGTTGGAACTAGGTGATCTCTGAGGTCCTTCCCAAACTAAATCATTCTGTGATGCTAGAGGATGTGTGGATGTGTATTTTGGTATTATTATAATAATTATATTAATATTAATAATAAAATAATTTGCTACTACTACTGTTTAATTACTGTTTTACTGTTTTATTCTTCTACACCAATTTATTCTTATATCTATTCTTTTTTCTTTTTATTTTTCTTATTCTTATCCTTATTCTCATTCCTAGTCTTTATTTTCTTTTTTCTTATTCTTGTTTTAATTATTATTCTTATGCCTTTTCCTATTCATTTTTCTATTCTTCTTCTTCTTCTTCTTCTTCTTCTTCTTCTTCCTCTTGCACTCTGTGTGCAGGAATGTGGGGGAGCCACTGCAGCCGCTGATAACAAATTCTGCACTTCTTCTCTCCCCTTTCCACTCCTGGGACCAGTCTTAAAGTTGCAGAATTTAATATTCAACACTAACAGAACAGACGATTTGGGGATATAGGCATCATACAGTCACCCCAAGACATTCTTTCTTATTCATTCTTATTTATTCTTATTCTTGGTGCAAGCTTCCCCTTGGGACAAGTCATGGTAGCTACCAACTCCTTCTAGGGACAGTTCCTGCTCAGTTGAGGCTTCCCCTTGCCACCCTTCCTGGTATTTGTTGATTTCTCCTTGGGACAGCTCTGTGTGTTCCTCATCTTTGCACTGAAGCTCCCCAGCCAAGGCTGCCTCCTCAGTCTCTTGCTCTGCCAGGTCTGATCCCCTGGGCTGGGCTGCATGGAAAGGAGTGAGGAGCAGCAGGCCAAGGGAGGTGATTGTGCCCTCTAGTCCATTGTTTGAGACCCCACCTGGAGCACTGCATCTGTGTCTGGGGGCCCCAGCACAAGAAGGACGTGGCCCTGTTAGAATGAGTTCAGAGGAGAGCAGCTGAGATCCTCACAGGGTTGGGGAAGCTCTGCTGTGAAGACAGGCTGAGAGCATTGGCATTGTTTAGCCTAGAAGAGAAGACTCCAGATGAACTTTAGAGCCCTGCCAGTACCTAAAAGAGCCTCCTACAAGAATGATGGAGACTTTTTACAAGGGTGTGTAGCAAAAGAAGAAAGGCAATGGCCTTAAACTGAAACAGATATGGATTAAATATTAGGAAGAAATTCTTTATTGTGAGGCTGGTGAGGCATTGGCACACCTTACCCGGACATGCTGTGGGTGCCCCCTCCCTGGAAAACAAGAAATCCATCAGGTTTGTCTTAAGTGAAGCAATGGGATGAAGCAGAATGATACTCATTTAACAACTCTGCACCCTTGTTTTCAATCAACTGTTGGAAATACTAGTAAGGAGTCCCCTCAAGTATTTATCATTTTTGTTTCCTGATCAAGTGAATGTTACATGAATTATCTGTATGGCTATGTAATTTCCATTAACCGTAATTGTAAGCATGTAGAAAGAGGGTGGCTTATCCTGTGATCCTCCCTATTACAAAGTAGTTAACTGATTAAGGTTAGGATACCACAAGCCACTTCATACCATTCGTGAACTCTCTGCAACCCCATTATCTTCATTAGGCTTGTGTGGGTATAATTAATTGGTGTTTAGTTACCAGTTGTGTTGAATGAAAAGAATTTAGTTCTATTTCTCTTAGTTTTATTGGCCCCATGGTGCTAACAGGCTAAAGTGTAATTAAAAACTCTCTAATCAAAGTATATGTAGCAGGAGCCAAGGAACAAACCCAGTGAGGAAAAGCCTGTGATTGGTGTAACTCTGGCCTTTGAAAAATGACTGAGTACAAATCGACACCCTGTAGTAGTTCTTTTTGTTTGTTTTTAAACTGTGAAGATACTTCACTTGTATCAGTATGTACATTAAAACCCCATCTGTATAATTACAATCATGACATTCCTAGGGGTGACATTATATTTTGATGTCTTCTCAATTGATTTTACCCCAAATCTAGGTTGCCTCCTATTTTGATTTCAGTAAAAAATGGGTCGTGTTTCTTTTGAGAGCAACTGGACAGAGTTTTTTTCTCACCTCGGGGCTTTATTATAACTCTTGTGCCAGGAAACAGATTACAATCAGCTTTTCCTTGTTTATGATACTGTGTTGTGTGTGTTCCCTGTTTCACTTTGGTTATAAATATGTGGTGTTAATCAAGCATGCTCTAAAGCCA